TTTATCCAGGCTTTCTTTCCTCATACGGACTGTCCTTAGAAAATGAGTTTCGTTTCCGACATCGAGAAATGAATGACATGCACGTTTCATAATAAAGACATAGAAAAGCATGCCAATTCAAACAATTAAGTGTAGAAACATCGAGTTGGAATGGCATGCATGCATGCGAACGTGGACGGGCGGCCTGTGTGTATACACAACACGTAATGTCAATTTTTGTGGAAATAATCAATGTTCGAAAGAAAGTTAGGAAAAGCCAGTTTCATATTAATCTGACACTGCAATCGACCAGTGAATTGGCTCGAGCGGGATTTGAACTCGCATCTTAAGGGTATCTGGACCGCCGCTCTACCCATTGAGCTATCGAGTCAACGGGGATTGGTAGCGAGTCTTATCCAAAATAAGTGCACGAAATATTTTTGTGCCCACTTAACGCTTGTCTTAGAGGACACGTAGTGTTTCAATTCGCTTTCAGAACCATGATCATGGAGAGATACGAAAAATCAGTTTCAAATACCCGAAGATGCGAGTTCAAATCCCGCTCGAGCCGAAGAATTTTTCGCTGGTCGATTGCAGTGTCCAAATAATATGAAACTGGTTTTTCGTATCTCTGAGGATGGTTCTGAGATAGAAACAGAGTTAGGCTTTGCCGGTATGGATACGTAAACGTACTGACTTCGTGATATAGTTGTTAACCATGCAGCAACTACATCAGTTTAGATATATATTTGCACTGTGTCCTGCACATGATTTTTGGCCTTTGACACCACAATAAATTACTAATCCAACTATACGTTTTGAAGTTCTGAACAAGCAACTCTCAGTTTGATATAGCTTCACCCCCGCCACATGATTTATGGATGTATCAAAAAGGAACTTTTAACTTTCTACATGACTTGTATTGGCCCTATAACCGAATAGGCCTGTCCTATTTTTCACAATGGATTACCAAGTATTTGTCAGATGAATTAGAACGTATCCAAAAACGCGCGCAATGCAAATAGTCCCAAACATTAATTACATAGGTAGATAGATTATTTAATCAAATCAAATCACATTGCAGCTATAGATATTTCTATAAGCTGAATTGCGTGAGTTATTACCACTAATGAGAAATTACAAATATTAAAAATAAGTACAGGTGAGATTAAAAGGTTAAAAGATATACATAGCTTCAGGTTAATTTAGTGTCTGAGGTCAAGACCCGCGTGTTTTATATCATGATTGACAAACTTAACCCCTGACCGGGCCTAATAGACTTTTACAAACATTTTTTTTATGACACCTTGTGCTTATTTTTTTCAGTCCGCCATGTTCTTAGCAAGCGCTCTCAAGAGAGGTCGTCACCCCCCTGAAAACATATTGAAAATTAATGTTCCAGGGGAATGAATGCCTTTCTTTTGGGCACTTGCTAAGAACATGACCTCCAGCTATTTCGGTAAAAACTATCTTATGTTAGTCAGTAGCTCAACTTTAGTCACGCGGAGTATATTAAATGCAGAGCTCGTGTGGATACAGAATGGAAGCAGAATAAGCAAGAAAGTTTAAAGCAGAAGCCCAAACGAAAGAACAAGACATTCGACGTCATCGAAGAAGATAAAAGAGGAACTGGACATTATATACACGCACGATCTTAATTTAGTCTTTCTATTGTAAAAATTCCGTCCCCTTGCATGTGCATAAATAGTACTACAATTTTATATATGACAACTTAATCAAATTTATGTGGCCTTTTTATATACAGTCACCTAGCTCCATAACACGGACATTTTGGAAATTCCGCTGCTTAAAAAAGGAAATTCCACACGCTAACAAGCTGAACGTATTTGAATAAAACTTAAAATCTCTCCCACCGAGCTTTAGAACTTGGTCGCACTGACGCACGCCAAAGCATGAATAAACGCTATAGATGCACATTTTCATTCATCTTATAACTTTTTCAAAATTCGTGACTTTTACACGAAAGTTTATGTTTGAGAAGAAAGTAATTTGATCGTCGTCAACTTATCCTATTTCCTATTGTCTGGGGTCAAGACCCGCGTGTTTTATATCATGACTGACTGATTGAGCGCTCTTCGCATGCGTGAAAAGAATGGGATTGGCCTTCAAGAGTGGCTTCAAGTAGCGTTCCAGTTAGTATTCATTTCAATTATTTTTTCAGTCCGCCATGTTCTTAGCAAGCGCTCTAAGGAGGGGTCGTCACCCCCCTGAAAACATATTGAAATTTAATGTTCCAGAAAAGTGAATGCGTTTCTTTTGGGCACTTGCTATTAGGGAGCGGTCATTATTTATGGCAGGGGGTGGCACCGAAGAGAAAAGGGTTGGCTAAACGAAATTTTGAGTACGTAAAAGGTTGGGTAAATGGAAAACAAAACAACTCAAGGGTTGGGTAATGAGATTTTATTGTCATTTCCAAAGCATGACTCACTGGAAAATATTGGAGACTAAAAAGCAATGTTAACAGTCACATGTCAATACAATATGTAAACCAATCAATCATGCAGAGTCAATATCTTGATCATTTTCCGATTTGTTGGGATCGAGACAAATGGTGTCTCCAAAGAAAGTACATGTACAGACAACATGTACATGCAACTTTAGACTGCAGAAAATTTCACAATCCGTTATCAAACTCATGTCACAGAAGTGGTAAAGGACATGTTTGACAACTGAATGGTACCTTTTGTACAGTTTTTGGCCAGGGGTGGGTATTTATTTAATTGATATTGGAGGTTGGGTAATCAATTTTTTTACTTTTTAATGGTTGGGTCAGCAAAACTTTTCCCACGAAAAACATTTCTCTTCGGTGGCAGCCCCCCCCACCCCCACCATAAATAATGACCGGTCGATATGTAGAACATGACTGCTAGCTATTTCGGTAAAAACCTATCTTATGTTTTTCCCTGTTTAGTCTTATACTATGGTACTCTGTGAAAGGGGCGTCGCTAGCCCTATTTAAATAAAGGGGGTGTAAGTTATTGTTTGACGTTGGTGTTCAACCTCCCCCCCTAGCGACGGACCTGTGGCTATAAATAACACTACGAAGTTTGAGGTACCCAGCTCAACCTTATAGTCGGTAGCACAACTTTAGTCACGCAGAGTATATTAAATGCAGAGAATGGAAGCAGAATTAACAAGAAAGTTCAAAGCTGAAGCCCAAACGAAAGAACAAGACAGTCGACGCCATCGAAGAAGATAAAAGAGGAACTGGACATTATATTACTGCACTATCTTAATTTAGTCTTACACTATTGTAAAAATTCCGTCCCCTTGTGCATAAATATAGTACTATTATTTTATATACGACAACTTAATCAAATTTATCTGACCTTTTTATATACAGTCACCTCCATAACACGGACATTTTGAAAATTCCGCTGCTTAAAAAAGGAAATTCCACACGCTAACAAGCTGAACGTATTTGAATAAAAGTTAAAATCTCTCCCACCGAGCTTTAGAACTTGATCGCACTCCAAAGCATTAATCAACGCTATGTAGATGCATATTTTCATTCATATTATAACTTTCTCAAAATTCGTGACTTTTACACAAAAGATTATGTTTGAGAAGAAAGTAATTTGATCGTCGTCAACTTATCCTACTTCTTAATTGGTGATCTGCGCAATCATTGCAAAATACAAATAGGTGGCTTGTGATTTCGCTTTGTGATGATAGATAATTGTTTATTTGCTCGGTAAGTGCTTTCTCATCATATACTGTAAATTTCTAACCAAGCCTGTACTAGACTGAATAGAAATGACAGAAATTATGATATACTGATACGATTGCAAAGCAATATAGTAGCCAAATACCCAGAATTATCGTATCGAAGGTGAAAACTTGAGAATCTATTAAAAGGCATATAGTTAATATGTCGCGGAATTGAAATTATTGTATCATTCGTTAGTAAGTTGAGTGACTTCCTTATACTTCTCTTTTAAGTTCTGTGGAAATCTATCAGGCCTATACATGGCAAGGGTTTACCAGGTAGTAGTAATAGTAGAATGAAGTTGAAAAAAAAAGGGGGAGTGTGAACCTGTTTCATTTAATTGGAGCTTTGAATGGAAAACGAAAGTACTGCGGGCGCAGAAGTGCGAATCCGCTGACTGTACGGACGGGGGGTAAAATTTGAAGGGGGCGGTCCTTATTTTAAGCAAGTTAGCGTCGTAGTTTGATTGACAGTTCGCGCGACGGGTGGTGTCGCGCGCGCGTATCCGTGACGTAGCTCCTCACCCAAAGCCGTGGTCGACCGAACTGAAGTGTAGCGTTTGAATCTCGCGCCTTTGTAGACGCGTGTGGGTGTTTCCGCTTGTGTGTCTTTTCCTTTTCGCGTGTTTCCGTTTTAAATTTTTATTTTCCTTTTTTCCATATTTATTATTTTTTGACCTATCGTACACACATACACAATGTGTTTGCGTGATGAGGAGGAGGGGTTGTTTTCAACATTGTTGTGGCTTTTCCTATTGGTGATTGCTATACCGTTTTATATTATATTTTTCATCATTATTGCTATACGATATTTTTTAAAAAAGGTAAGATAGACGATAATTTACTTCTAGTTTGTAAAAACGCGAAGCAAAAGATCGTCTAGTTTAGCAATTTTAATTATTTTTTTTACTATTTTAATTATTTTTTTCTTCTTTTTCCTTGAGAAAAAATAGTAAATAAAGCTGCGGATTGGAATAGGAGTGAAAAATCTCTCCCATTCCAATCCCCAAATTTATTGTACTAAAATTTATTTCTTCTTCTTTTTCTTCTTTTTTACAGTTACAATATACATGTGTAAGCAAAACAATTGTTATAAAAAAATTTTATTTTAAAACATTTTACATATTTTTTAATTTTTTCTAAAATGTTTTGTAAAATGTTTATTCAACTTGTGGCAATTTGACATAGAAACATACAGCTTCGGCCATAGACGTATAGACAGCAGCATACGGTTTTTCTTTTCCATCGGGACGCATATCTAATATCGTGATTTTCCATAGTGTCGACGCAATATCGGTATCACATATGATGGTTTTGTCGTCGATACCTGCCTCGATGGGCTTTGGTTTTTCTTTCCATTCGCCATTGAGAATACGGTGAAAAAAACCGATTGCTTTTTCCCAATTATCACTGATCAATTGCTTGTGTTTCCGGTTGTAGGTGTCGAAGTCCATACAGTTGTTGTTCTCGGCACGTAATTGCTTGGTGGTCAATTCAGCGAGAACATGTAAGAACAATTCTTTTTGATCATCAATACTACCCGTCCAGTGATCTGGTTTTTTACACACTCTATAATATAAATGTTGTAGTAGTTTTAAAATTTATGTAATGTATTAAATTTTAACTCGAAACGAAAAAAAGACTTACTTCCTTTCACTTGGGTCGATGTCTTTCTCCTTCAGTGTCTTTTGATTTTGTTCTATTTCCTTCGTTATTTCCCTCAGTGTCTTTTGATCTTGTTCTATTTCCTTCGTTATTTCCCTTTGTTTTTCAATTTCCATTTTTTAGTTATGATATACCACCCTGCTAAAATAAGCTAGGTGAACAAAAAATTAAGATTTAGTTTAGTTGTCAACTTTCCCGTGGATCAACTCGTCTATTTCGAACAGGTAAGCGCTACTTGAAAAATTATTAGTATAGACCTGTGCTATTTATAAGGTTTTTTCTATTAAGTTTTTTCTATTTAGAAGGTATTGTTTGAAGGAAACGATATGGAATTTACAAAATATTGGTATGTCCAAATAAGGTTGTATGTTTTAGGGTTGTATGTTTTGGGGTTGTATGTATGAAATAGGTTTTGTTCAAATATGGTTGCTGTGGTCACAGTATTTATAATTATGAAATAATACAGATTGTTTATATAATGTGCTCTATAATAGTGATATGGGTTGCTGTGGTCACAGTATTTATAATATTTGACTTGTTGATAGTCTCGAATTTTATTGTGTTTGATAATGTTACAAATGGCGGGTTGTGGTAAGGGTTGTACATGCAATGTGTGTATGGAAAAAAGAGAGGCGTTTAAGGATGTCTTTGCACCGCTTGACGAATTTTGTAAAGTGGTGGGAATTTTATGGAAGATATAAATGCTAAAATGTACCAGACCTTGGAGGGCTTGCAAGCGGTAGAACGTTCTGTTAGTGATTGTCAAAAATCTGTTGATGCTTTAAGGTATGACCATATAAGGAGGGGTAAATATATTTTTAAAAGGAGCACTGAATTTTTATATCATCATTCATGTTTCAACATATCGTTGAAATGTCTAGTGTAAAAAAGGGTGCAACCAAGGACTGTTGCATTGTTACACCTGTGATGGTATCGACTGTTAGGAGAGCTTATTATATGAATAATACAGATTATATATATAATGTTGTCTATAACGGTGACATGGTCCACAAACACGATTGTTTGAATGATGTTGTGAAAAAGCAGTTGTTTATTGTGATACCGCATACGGGTTATACCAGTTGGGGTCTATTGAGACCGAGACGATGTATTTGTGTTCGCGGGTAAGAAAGAAATATTTTTTAAAAAAGGGTGTTTTGTTCAGAAAATAAATTATATTTTTTATTTTTATAGACTTGCTGATCCTGATAAGACCTCTGACTATATATTTGAAGTTCCAGAGGATGAATATTTAAGGGCTGCAGAAAACCCCAATGAAACGGTAGCTTTTTGTGAGTTACGAAACGTAACAAAACCCAAGAAAGATCTCAAGATTGTCGACCCATTAAGCCAGCAAGCATAATTGAGAAGGACGGGGAATAATGTCCGAAATAGCTGTTGAGAAAGGACAGGAATTTAATAGTTCATTAGAATATTTTTTTGATTGTAGAAAGAAACATTATGGCACGAATTTGATAACTTTTTATTATAAAGATAAAATTTATACGAATATTAAATATGTATTTTATGTTGAAAATAGAACGTTATTACGAAAAATAATTTTTATGGATAGTGTACTTCCTGTAGGTATATTTTATTGTAGCCCCTATACTAAAAAATGTTTAAATAAATTTAATTACTTCACAATGTGTAAAGAAGGTTTTCGTTTAGCACGTGTGGATTTTGGGGATCTACCCATACTAGAGGATTTTGCAGCTGATAGAAAATTTATACGCTGTTTTAATAGGGTCGTACGTAAGGGGGTTATTGTGGATAAAGTCGAGTATATCTTAAAACGAACTGGTGTGTTAGTATCACCATATATAATTGAGTTAGTAATACAGAATGTAAAAACACACAA